GCTAATCTCCGGACAACGACTTTTCGACCTGGATCGGCTTTAGAACCACGAAGATGTCTGTGACGGCCCAAGCCAAGTGGCATAGCGCGGGGAGGAGGGATGGCAGTGCGTCGCGCTACTACCCCAGACATGCACAGGGAAGTGGGGTACCTCTCTTGTCCCACATCGCCTAGGGGGAAGTTTTGAGCTAGCTTATAAGGCTTGGGGGTCTATATCTGTGTAACGCGTTTTAAAGCCGTAAGAGTCAGTGAACCCAAAGCGGACAATATTACATAATGTAGATCCGGGATGTTACAGGTGGTATTAGAGCCGACTCCCGACCGCATGTAGACCCGGGGTGTTACAATGTCATGTTGAAAGATTGGATCAGCGAATGTCTGAACGAGAACAAGTGGGAAAGAGTGGTCGATCCTAATGTGCCAGGGGAACTATGTGGAAAAAGAAATTCGTAGTCCCTTTGTCACTGTAGAGACATATTTTTCTTTCGTGAGTTAACAACGTAAATTACGAGATGAGTTCTTTTTATTCTCTCCTGATAAGAAAGGACGGGGTAGACTTTGCAGTATCCTCACAGGACGCACCATTGTCTATGGATTCAAGTTTCAAAGAAACTGTGCATCATCTGCTTCTTCTTGAATCACTCGACGTGGAATTCTTCTCGGTGATGGACTCGTTCGACTTCATCGGGTCTTTCCTTTTGTTATTTGTCCTTAATACTGGCAGAAGACTCCTGTCGTGGCCCTTTACGTATGAAATTTTTGTGTTTGGACCCTGTCAAGTCAACCATATATATATAGGATTATTAATTCATATGCTTGTCTCAAGATACAATCTATTGTGAATTGGCACGAAATCTGATGGATCTTGCAATTCAATATATAATAAAAGGCCCGTAGACAAGATAAATTAAAAGTAAGAGAGACCGTTGTTATCGAATATGAGCACGTTGTGATCAGCTGAGCATATTTTCGAAGAACATTTTTGCAGAAGAAAAAGACCGCCAATCCCTTGGAGCAAGGGCTCAAACCAGAGATTTGGTCAAGCCTTTCCTCTCCCTTTCTAGCTACCTACAGGCCAAAAAGATATTCTGGATAGAGCAGTCAAAGTAGACCAGACCTTGAGAGCCGTGCACGAAGAACCCAACGGTAGAAGAATCCCAGGCTGGTTAACTTTCGAGGGAATAATAGCAGAGGCAACAACAAGCGTGGCGATTGCAACACATATGGAAAACACCATAAAAGTCCATATGAGATTCCATATGAGATTTCTGATTTTATGAGATAATTATTAACTGTTCTAAAAACTTAAGTGATGACGTGATTTAATAAAACATTTTTCATTGAGTAGTATTTTGAGTAATATGAGCAATCATTTTTAGAAAATGTCTTTCAAATTATTCATTTTTCGCGAGACAAACGTAATCTTAAATTATGTTGCAATTTCCACAGCAACAACGAGAGATGGACATGAGATTCCTTCGTTAAATGAAGATGAGGGGGATGATGCATATACCAAAAATATTGTGTACAAAGAAATTTTTTAACAAATTTCCCTTGGATAAAGCGATGATAGCTATTTTAAAAACTTTCTTACAAAACTAATCTTTGGGTACCCTCTGAATATTTTATACTTTATTTGAAGAACAATGAATGGAATCCGCGTGGATCCCATGCATAGTACATGTATAAATTAGTGATACGAACTTTCTAAGTTCCTTCACAAAACATATTTTAAAGGATGTATAAGAACATTATTAGTTTTTAAGTCACGAGATTTGACAAAATCAATAATGACAATCACAATATGCCAAGAATAGTTGTGCAGGGAGTTTACGAGGAAGATGAACTCATATCAAGTACTTCTGTCTCTTCCAATATTTGGTCAACCCTAACACTAGGAAGATCTAACGGAAATAAATCCCGATTTTTATTTATTTGCAATATCAACTGACTATATGTTTTGTATTTGTACGATATCATAGTAAATATTTCTAGCTATTGTTAATGCATTTGTTTCTTGTTTCCAAGGATTATCTATTTCGAATGGAACATAGAGAAAAGAATAATGATCTAAAATTAACACTAGTATTTCCACTGATATAGAAAATTTTACATTGAAATTGCAATATGATCAATCGACATACAATGGACATGTTCCAAATACGAGTAATTAGAAGTATGGATGTTCAACTATATGCAAAAGTTAATAGCCTTTCAATGTGATGTACAGCCCATGTAGCAAAGGAAAAAGGCCTAGTGCTCTTCACATTTGGTTTTTCCAACGCGTAGGAATCCATGAATACTAGGAGAATTATGCAAAATTTGCTTTATATGAGTTGCACGTTTTGCCAAATTTTGGAGCTCGTGGCAATGAAACCTCTCCCGCTCTCTCTTTCCAGTTTCCGAGAAGCTGCTTACTGGAAGGCTTTGGAGTGAGATGGCCCCACACTTTGACATCGGCCTACAATCCAACGACATTTCCTTACCATTTCATTCCTGCACACCGACCAAAAGCTCTGTGTACAAGCAAGGCTCTTTGGATATGAAGAAGTTATTCCCAAACCAATCACTACCAATCGAGAAAAACCATCAAACGTATACTATCCATTCGTACTTGAGAAGGATCTACGTTTTCCCCGCTTAAAGATGGTGTTAAATCTCCGAACCTTCAGTTTTACCGAGTCCATTGAAGGTGGTGATCCAACACCTCCTAAAAGATTCTCTCTAAAGGAGCACCGAGTCGCGACAGACAACTTTAGCCGCGACAACTTCGTGAAGTTTGATTGGCACGTCAACGTTTACAAGGGGTGCTTGGCTGATGGTTCACTAGTGACAGTAAAGAGAGAGTGCCGTGTTGATCAAGGGAAGGAAAAAATGCTCAAAGCAGAAATACAAGTGGGAAGCACGGTTTCGACGCACCCAAATGTGCTATGCTTGAGGGGCTTTTGCAGGACCAAGAAAGAGCTATTACTAGTGTATCCCTTGATGATCAACAATAGCCTATCTAACAATCTTACAGAGAGACCGGATCTGTTTGCCCGACCTCTCGATTGGACTACTTGCAAACGAATAGCCTTGGGAGCAGCGAGGGGGCTTGCACACCTTCACAATCAAGGTAAGATCAAGATCATCCATGGCAGCATCTGCGCATCAAATATCCTGCTGAATCTGCATTTTGAGGCCGTGGTAGGAGGATTTTTGTCTGCCGTGATCACGAATGAGAGAAATGTAGAGGAAGGGACTATTGAGTGACCCACACGCATGCCAAGGCAGGGCACGGGAGTCTCAATCTCATCACCGGTAGAAGAAAATTCAGCTGATTCTCGCTCCAATTCTCAAACCTATCATCGCTATGAAGACGTTTCTGTCAACACCCCCCGATGCGGCAGTTTTTTTTTTACTGCCCCTGAGTACTTCAGCACAGAGAAGTGCACACTGAAGAATGATGTCTTCTCATACGGGAGAATGCTTCTTGAGCTCATCTCAGGACAGCCAATTTTAGAACTTCATGAGTTGGCGTATAATGAAATTCTCAGTTTGGAGGAATGGATTGGTGATTTTATGAACAAGAACGAGTTGGGAAGGGTGATCAATCCCAATTTGCAGGGGAACTATGTGGAAGAAGAAGCAGAGCAGCCAGTCCGACTGGCATTGTTGTGCGCGGATGGCGATCCATCTGTCGGACCCAAGATGTCAGAAGTGGTTACAATGATCGAAAACCAAATGCTTTGGCAGGAACCTAGCAGCAGAGCCATTGGAGTGGAAGCGAGTATAATTCAACTACTTACTACTCCTTCCCTCCTTCTCCTTCTCTCTCATTGGAGATATGCTGAATCTCGATCACCATTGTCTTCTACAAGCTCAGCTTTTAGGTTTTCCTTTCCCTATATGATTTCCGTTTTGTTTACACGAGTGCTTTACCTTCCATGATGTTTGTATTTGTAATAGTGCGAAATGAGGTCTCGGCTCTAGTTGTTCAGGGACGCTGGAATAGGGGCCTTGTGTGACATTCTGAAATTTCCACCAATTGGAATTTATTGAATAATTGAGTTGTATGAAATGTGCTCGCAGTAAATTCTGCCCGAACCGATCATTCTGGGAATGCTAACCATTAGGGAAAGGCTAATAGGGGAATTAAATTCGCGCGACTAAAGAAAATTCGATCGTGAATGGACTTCGACCATTAAATCGCGTAAGTGATATTTTGAGCCACTGTTGGCCGATTCAAGGATAGTTAGGGGTCAGTTCGCCACTGTCCTAGTAGTGGATCGCGGGTGATTCCGTTGGACCACGAAACGACTTGACGAATGATTCCGAAATTATACCGAACGATCGTACCCCTCGGATCAAGTGATTGATCTTCGCGATTTTTATGACAACCGAGATCGTCATGCATCGAACGGACTTGCATGTGACTCGATTCAGTATCAATGATGAGTCGATTCTGCGAGTTTCCCCAGCAAGCCGCCCATTAGCTTGAGAAACGCTCGAGTTGCGTTTAATAGAATTTAATTATGGAATTTTTATCCAAATTGGACACTGGAAAATTAGGAAGTCATGCCGGAACGTTAGGACGACGTTGTACGTGACACGTGTGAAATTTTGGTGTGCTCAAATTCTTCGGAAAAATTCAATTTGGACAAGAAACGAAGAAGTTGACTGTTTTGCCCTTAAAGATTAACAAAGAGCATGCTTATGGAAGAAGGGGTATTTTAGTCATTTTTGTTTTAGATATTTTTTTTGGGTCAAAGTTTCTAGATAAGACCCTCTCCTCTCTCTCTCCCTCTCCTTCGTGGACTTCCCCCCTCCTTTTTCTTTTTTGGCCATGAGTTTCCCCTCCTCCACCGTGAGTTCTTCCTTGGCCATTTTCTCCACCGCCGGCGCCGCCGCTCGCCGCCACCACACCGGACCACCCTCAAGCCACCGTCCACGCCGCCGTACGCCACCATCACCCCCTCCCGCCGTCCCTCTCTCTCTCTATTTCCCTCCCTCTCTCTCTTGGCCACGCGCAAGCCACGCCATCGCCGTCCAAGCCGATCGCCGCCACCCGGAAGTTGTACGTCGTCGCCGTTGTCCCCGATTAAGGGCTGCCGCTTTCCGTTCTAGCCGAGGAAGTCTAGAACGCGGGTAAGTCGCGCCTAAACCTAATTTAGGACTTCGGGTATCGACGGGTAAATTCGAAAAAAATCAGTATGGAATTAGGTGCGGAATCACATGGATAGGGGGTGAAAATTTTATGGCGGGCCTTAGGAATTAATTTGGGTAATATTTATTGGAAATTCAGAAAATTAGGGGCTGCGAATTACTGTTCATATGCCTCGAATCACTGTTCACTGGCTGTGGGTTACTGTTCACCGAGCTGTGATGGTCCGATTGGGACGCAAGTTGAATTTTTGGAACCTAGATATTTTGGCGAGAAAGTCCCGTGAAGGATCGGAATTAATCCGACGCCGTTTGGTTGGAGAAAAATGGGAATTATCGTATTGGATGCATATTTAAATTATTAGTAAATTGTGGTAATTAAGTTGAGTATGCTGTGGCGTGCTGTTGGGTACGAGAATGATACCGTTGAGTCCGGCTCGGAGTTTCATGTAAGTGTCGGGAAGAGTCGGTGGTGTGATTTTGTGGTTTGAGTGCAGAAATTACATGTTCACGAGTGTGGGAGTACTGTGCACTGTGCTTTGTGGTGAGTCGTTTGATGCGTGTTCGGTACCGTTAGGTCCGTCTTGGAATTTATGAAAATCCCGTGAAGGGCTGAAAATGATTTGAAAACATTTGAGCAAATAAAAATGTTGTTTTATGCGAAAATGTGCTTTTGTGTGAAAATGGTGATGTGGTGAAGTGTGGGGTGCAAGTGTGCACGGAATTTGAGGCAATGGCATGAGAAAGTGAATGTGGGATCGGACCGAGGCGTGTGATGCTCGGGCGCGATCGAGGCCCTGAGGCGTGAGCAGTACGCGGGCCGGATGTGGTGAGTGGTCGCGGTGTACCCGAGGCGTGTACGTTTATGCGGGTCACTGGCGAAGAATGAGAAAGAGGAAATGAGAATGGACGGAATAATGGGATAAGAGTGGTATATGCGCGTGTTTACATCTGACAGGATTGAGTTTGAATGATGTTGTGTGCATGTTTGAGCCTGGCAATATTATTTGTTGTGCCTGCAATGTGATGTTTCAGCGTGTGGTGATATTGAGTGTTTGAATTTAATTGGCGCTCATGGTGCATTGCATTGCATAACATGGACACGCATTGTGTATGCCGAGAAGTGAGGTATGTGATGAAATTGTGTGAGAATGCGTGTCTCGCAATGAAGGCATGTGATTACCTAAAATGCCCTGAAGCGTTATACGCTGGGTTCAGATAATAATAAGTTGTGTGATCACCGAAGGACCTTCGGGTCGATACCGTCCTCATGCACTTTGAAGCGGGACGATGCCCTAGTACGTCCTAAGACGACCATCCTCATGCACTTTGAAGCGTGCTCCGGTTCGTAAGGAGATCGCTGTTGCGCCTCATGCACTTTGAAGCGAGGCTAGAGATATTGGGCCGAGATCGGTTCTTGCGCGCCTCATGCACTTTGAAGCAGGCTAGACGCACCGGGCCGTTAATAATGTGGACTCGAGTCGTAATTAATAATAAATTGGGAAATTGCCAGTGTGCCAGTGTGGGCCAGTGGGCCGGAGAATGCGTATGACATGTAGACGACATTTGCATGCATGGAACATGCATAGACTGGCATGTGAATGTATGAGAATCGGTGCATGAACGTGTGATTGACATACGTGTGATTATGCGTGCCACGCATGTGCCGTGACTATTGTATGTTGATCTGCCTAACCTGCAGGGTCAGATAATTGTCTGACTATTGTGGTATTGTGATTTGAATAATTGTTTCCAGTCAGGAGATTGCATGCTAGCCTAGCCTAGGTTGGGTTTAGGGGTGAACTTACTGAGAAGTGTTCTCACGGTTGTTTCAACCAACAATTTCAGAACCCCGACAGGACCCATGAATCTTCCACCACCGCCACCAGAACGTTTTGGAGTCCTCAGTGGATGGGACGGTATAAAGGGACTCAGACTCAGAGGAAAAGGAATCAGACTCAGAATGGGTTTTTGGCGAGCACCATTTTTGGAGTAGTAGTAAACCCAAGTTTTCATCCTTGGAGTATCGGTTTTGAGAAAGGCGATATGCATGTACATGTATGGGACAGTTTATAAATGTAAATATTATGGTATAAGAAGGAAATGAAAAAGATATGTATATTCTCTCTGATTTTTCTCCCCAGTTTTAATTACCGGGTTTAATTGTTGATATCCGCTGTGGTAGTAAATCTCTGATGGCGAATTTGAGGTCAGCGATATTCTTGGGACGTCGCTTGAATCGACCAGAGGCGGTGTCGCGTGCCGTAGGGGTTCGGGGCATGACACCTTGAGTTTCTGAACCATTTGTCTTAGGATTATTCAGGGGAAAAGTGTTAAAAAAGTCCTAAACATTTTGCATTGGTGCCAATTTAGTCCTAAACTTTGTTTTGGTGTCAATTTAGTCCTAAACCTTTTACATTTGTGCCAATTTAGTCCTAAACCTTTTTTTGGTGCCAATTGAGTCCTAAACCTTTTGCATTGGTGCCAATTCAGTCCTAAACCTTTTGTATTAGTGCCAATTGAGTCCCAAACCTTTTTTTGGTGCCAATTAAGTCCTAAACCTTTTGCATTGATGTCAATTCAGTCCTAAACCTTTTGCATTGGTGCCAATTCAGTCCGAAATCTTTTTTAGCTAAATTAATCGGAAGGACTGAATTGGCACAAATACAAAAGGTTTAGGACTGAATTGGCACCAATGCAAAAGGTTTAGGACTCAATTGGCACCAAAAAAGGACTGAATTGGCACCAATGCAAAAGGTTTAGGACTGAATTGGCACCAATACAAAAGGTTTAGGACTGAATTGGCACCAAAAAAAGGTTTAGGACTCAATTGACACAAATGCAAAAGGTTTAGGACTGAATTGACACCAAAAAAAGGTTTAGGACTGAATTGGCACCAATGTAAAAGGTTTAGGACTTTTTTGACACTTCTCCCGATTATTCAGTACTGACCGCTCTCTTCTAACATTTTCAAGGAATTGAAAGCAACTGAACGAGTTGATCAAAGTGTCGCCTTCGAATCTATCACACTTATTGCAAAATGGAAAAAGAAACTTGTGAAGGAATGTCTATTTGATATAAATCCTGTATTCCTGGAGAATTTGGATGCCATCATCAAAGTAACAAAGCGTTTGGAAGGAAGGACCTTCACATACCTCAGCTGCGTATGCATCTTAACCATAGAATTAGGTCTCGAATTCTAGAGCTGAGGCATCTCAACGCGTATGCATATGCTGCCCGTGCGATGCATGGTTTTATTTGTGGAAGTACATTTCGACAAACTGTATATTTGAGTAGCATTTACACGTGCATGCACAGTTGCACACTGAGGTTGAAGACTTTGTGGTAGACGGTTTTTTTTCCCTCTAATTTTCAGGATGTCAGGCATCAATTAAGGTAGCGTCATGTAATCATGCTTTACTTCTTAATTAACGGAATTCCAAGTCGTTGTCCCTCTCATCCTCTGCCTGCATTTCCAAATTTGTTTTCTCTGCGTTGAGAGAGGAGGATATGGTTGGACTAGTTTTTTGACTTTCTTCGCTACGAGGAGACTCATATGAAGCTTCCAAGAAACTTCTCAGCGATGGGATGGCCAAAGGTTGGGACTATTAAAATTGGGGAATACAAGGGAAGCACCTTCCTCCTATTGCCGAGCCAATTCCATGTCTGAATGGAAAGTCTCCAAGATTTTGATATATAGCCTTCTTGTCCTCGAGGAAATTAATTTCAAAAGACATAATATTTCCATCTCTCTAGCAACGCAGAGTTGTAGACCGCGCACGCAGCCACTTCCGACAGCTTCAACGATCCACCCCGACATCGGATCACAATGCCATTTTCACCATTGAAACCAGCACAGAAAAATGATACGACCTGTGAATTTATAATTATTTTCGAAACATTTGAATCGCCTGTTACTTACCAGAAGTTACAAACTCGTGAAAATTATGGAAAATGATTTTCTAGACATTAAAAATTTCTATAATTGATCTGGTCTGTTTAAATAAGTATGGCTGGTCAATCAAAGTCTTTGAAAGGTCCAATACGGTTATTGAAGAAAATAAACTAGTACGATCAATTTTTGGAAAAATATAACTTTTATTTGCTATTTAGAAAAAACTGTATTTTCTACAAAGTTGAGTAGTTCTGACCATATACGGATTTAAGTAATTTTTAGGCGATTAGGGTGCGTATAGGGGCCATACACCCTAAATTGGGCTCTCGAATGGCATTTTCGTAATTTCCTACCGAACGGGCTTTCGGGCCCAAGCAAGTTTAGCCGCTATATCTAAAGAGTGCAACTTCTAATAAGGTACGTAAATTGTGTTAGGGTCCAAGGAAAAACGTGGTTGGCGTGTGGTGGTTTATTTAGCACTCAAACTAGGTAAGTGATTTTTACCACTTTTTCGTTTTGCAAAAATTGCATGACTTGATTTATCTAGAAAGAGTCATGTTGTGGCATGGCACGTATTTCGAACTATATAAAATACATTATTTCGTGGCTCCTTCTGAAAACTGGACAAAGTATTAATTTTTTTTTTTTAACTTCATGTTGTTGTTATCTACAAACATTCTGAAAATTAAATGCTATTTATATTGGTGATATATGTGCCAGCATGTGGTATTGTGACACGGATTTGATGGTCATTGTCGACCTAAATATTGAGACATGATATGAGAAGCATGTGCACATACCATCCCTATTCCAAGGCTTAATCACAGCCAATGTGATTTTCAGGGCTTACCCCAACGAAGCATGAGCAAAGGGTTTTCTTGACATTAGGGATCAAATGACTTTTGACATTTGTTCGCTATGCTATATATGTGGTTTATTGATATGATGCACAATATATGATTTATCGGAAGATATACATTATGCTGGTTACATTGGGATGGTTATGAATGGCCTTGATAGTTGCCGCCTTTTGCAGGCTTTGAATTTTGATAGATCCGGCAGGCCTTCTTGGTTGGACTTGGGCTTACTTTGATGATGGATAGGCTTGTTGTACTTTGGCCATTCTGTGGACTTTCATAGAAGAAAGCAGGCTCGACAGTCCTGGAGATAAATAGTAGGGATTTCTCAAACTTTGAACAAAATTACAATGTAGTCCTTGTGGCAAATTTTTGTGGGGAAATCGTAGATATGGCGGCGTGCCACATAGGATGGTGGCGATAACCTGGACCACCACGTCAGTGATTTCTTGCAAAAATTGGCCAAAAGGATTACATTGGAATTTCATGCAAATGTTTAAGACTAAATTGACAAAATTGAGAAGTAATAGCCGTATAATAGGTTTAGAATTATGACTGATTTGGTAATTTTCCCTTTCTCACGGTCTTCTCGTAACTGTAGAGATCTGTTTGCTAATAATTTTCACCACTTCATGGGGATAAAGATGCCATGAGACAGTGACATTGTTAGTAGGCTCTTAAGTTTTGAAGAAAGGAATCGTCCGTATGTTATCTACTTACCCGCTTCGACGTTAAATTCTTCTTGATCAACATCCAGTTAGCAATCCATATATTTCCTCTAACCTCTTTTTTGTTGCTTGTGGCCGGTTATGAGCAGCATTTTCCCATGTGTGTGCATCAATCTTGCTATATTTTTCTATATATGTTGGCATAAATCACTGTGACACCCTGGATTTTGATGACCTTGCATTTGCATTCTGAATGACGTTTTGATTGCAAATGTAGTGACTGTTACTAGATAGTAGATACATAAGGATAATGTTATCAATGGTCCATATATTTTTATTCGAAATGATCCCTCTACTTTTTGTTGGCTCAAAATGGTCCATGGTACTTTCTAAAAATGTCCACCGTTAGCCCTTCCCTTAATTTGGTCACTCAAATGTCAAGTTGGACACCACAGCACGTGTCGTGGTGAACACTCTTAAAAAGTACATGGATCATTTTGAAAAAAATGAGTGAAGTAAAAGGTACAATTCCAAATTTCGAAAAAAAAAAAGTTATGACACTACTGATGTCATCATCCAAAATAAACATCAACATGTTTGATCTATTAAACCACGGATAACTGAGTAGCATTTAGATGTGCATACACACTAAGGTTGTAGATATTTTGTGGTAGATAGTGTTTTTCCCTCTAATTTTCAGGATGTCATGCATTAACTAAGGTGGCATCATGTGATATCCTGAAAATTCGATCAAATTTGGTGATTTATGAAATGGTGATTTCATCGACGCTCTATTAGTTAATTCTCGCTCCGGCCCGATCACCCAGGAATACTAACCAAAGGGGAAAGGCTATCAAAGAATTTATTTCTAGCAAATGCACCGTTATTTCAAGATAAATTATAGTTGCGATTGATCGATTTCAAATACGAATTATGATCCGATTTTGCGTGTCGAGTGCTCAAGGATATCACACCCGAACTATAGGACGTCGCCTCATAAATTTTACGAATTGGCCATCGAAAATTAATTCTTAACTTGCCCTTCTAGAAACCTCTTTGTTAGATTAAATTTTGGCCGTTGGATGGAACTTGGAGAGCAAGGCTTGATCTTGGCCGTTGGATTAAACTTGGGCATCAAGAACACATCCTAGCCCTTGATCTTTGCTTGGGCATCGTAACTAATCTCAACCATTGATCTCTCTCCTCACTTTCTCTCTTATTCTCTCTCTCTTCCTCTCTCACGGCCGAATCACCCCACCACCGCCGTGCACCCACCAGCCCCTCACGCCACCATCCTTGAGCCTCGTAGATCGCCGTGTGCCGTTCACCGCCGTTTGCCGCTTGCCGTGTCAAGCCGAGGCCGCCACGGACAACTCGTGTCGTTGCCGTCGTCCTCACGTTGTCGTCGTTTTTAGACGAGTAAGTTAACATCTAATCCCTTGTTTAGGATGTTTAACTTGCATTGGGTAGTTTAGCTAGTTAATGTTTTGGTATGTTTGAACTTCTAGAATGAGCGTTGGCGAGTCTTGATTGCTAGACTAAGTTGAAATAGATGTTGAATGTTGATTTGAACTCTTGGTGTGGTATTTTCATGGCTGAGAAGTGGTGGATCTCAAAGTTGAAGGTGTTTCTTGGAGTTTTTACCTTGATTTCAGAACTGATTTTACTGTACGTCCCTGGTTTTCCATTTTTATAAAGCATTTTGTGGT